TTACTTAACTACCTAACCTAACGTACTATACGTAACCTTACTTTACTTACTTATTACTTGTTCTCGTACAACTAACTTAACTAATACACGACGACTCTTCTTCTCTCTCTCTCTTTCCTTCCTCTCTCTCTCTCTCTCTCTCTCTCTCTCACATTTTCTAATTCATTAATTCTCAACCTCTCGCTGGGGGTCATCACAACTTGTCTGCTCCCAAGAAGCAAGCCAATCCTCAGACTCCAGTGGTGACTGCTGGTTGAGAAATGGGTTATGTTCTGCTGCAATGCTATAGGGGTAGAGTAGGAGCGCAGCCATAGCCGGGACTACTTGTTGGGTGCTCTGATCTCGGCCACCCACTTATCCCACGTTCTCATTCTGATGCCCCTGTATTTCCTCTCACTCTAGTTCTTACTATGTAGGTTTGCTCACTTTCTCTCTCTAGAGATTAAACCGACAAAACCAACGTGAAAAAGGGTGCCCCCATCTTCCTTCTCTTGAACAAGCGCAGATGTGATTGGAGGAATTGAAGATTTTGTAAGCTTCTCATTGTAGAGACCGGCAGCAGCTTAACTGATGAGATGGCCTTATCATAAGTCACAACGTCAGTTATGCCTGCAAATCGCCAAAAAGAGAAAGGGTCCTAATGTGCCTACACAAAGGATCCATGAAAATTCAAAGCCTCCATGAAAGGACTCTCCTCAAATTTGTGGAGGTTCATAAAATTTTCCAGGAGAGTCTCCCCCTAAAATTGAGCCTCAAAATTAGTACCATGAGTGGAATACTCAGAGGGTCCCTTTACCCAGCCAGAGTTAGGATGGGGTTGAACCTAGTCCAAAGCTAAGGCCGAATACCGGAGAGTCTCCCTCCCTACCTTGTCCCTGTTCTAAGCACGAAGCTTCAATTGCATGTTACGACAAGGATATGCAGATGTGAAAAATCAAGAGAGTATGCAAACAATTAACCGCCGAAAAGACCCAATAATGGTGGCCTTCCACCCTTACTCTCATTCTTAATCTTGCTTTCTCGCTCTAGAATTTTGACCAAAGAAGAGTGGCCAGCCGCCAAAGTTCTGATCCTCGCAAACAGAGCCCAGAAAGGAGAGGAGGATCTAAAACTCAGGATGGACAAAAAAAAGGGTGGCCTTTTGTGTTTCTCGCGTTCTCTCTCCTTTCTCATTGTCGACGGGGGTTCAATGATTCAGATACCAGCTAGAAAAGTTTTTGGGCAAAGAAAACATCGGAGCCTAATTTAGGGCAAGAGAGAGAGAGTGGGAAGGGGTTCATGGGGAGAAAGTTAGGGCGGGGGCATGATAGAGAGAACTAGAGCTTTTTGGTTGTTGGATTTAGAGAGAGAGAGAGAAGGGAGGGGGTGGGGGGTTGACGGGAGAAAGTTAGGGTGAGGGCGTGAGAGAGAGAGCTAGAGCCTTTTGGCTGCCGGATTTAGAGAGAGAGAGATGCAGAGGGTGAAGAGTGAAACTAAGAGAGAGTGATGGAGAAGGAAACGAGAAAAGCTGGAATGGGAAGGATAGTGTCATTTTGAACTTTGTTTGGGATGAAAACATAGTATAAAACGTGGTTATATGGGTTTAGGGGGTTAGTAGAAAAGATTTTTAGGAAAGTTGATGCATTTGGATACATTTCAAATTTGTGGGTCTATTGAGAAATCATACTCAAAATTTAGGGTCTATGAACATATTTTCCCATTTTTAAATGTTGATTATTTTTGTCGAAACATAAAAAGGTGTATCTGTGGTTGCTGCTGTGTTTGTATATGGAATAACTGATGCATTGTTATGTTTGATTGGATACAGGTCTTCCCTTATCTTATAGATAAATTCTCCTTTGAAGAGCAGGCATTTCTGGTTTGGCAATTTTTGTGTACTATTCCGGTGAATATGATGCCAGAATTTCTCCCATGGTTAGCATCATCTCTTTCCTCTGATGAACTTCAGGATTTACTGGACTGCTTGCATAAGATAATTCCAGAACAAAAGCTTCTCCAACAGGTGATTTTCTTTTTTGCCAGTGGTAGGTATGCTATCAACTTTTTTGACATGTAATTTACCTGATTTTGAAGTTGTGGTATGAAGGTTGTCTTCACGTGGGTGAAAGGAAAAGGTCCAATCAAAGTGGAAAGTTCCTGTGATGCTCATGCAGAAAAGCCTGATCACATTGGTGAATGCTCTCATGCTTGTGACAATTGCAAGGTCTGGAAAAGGAAGCATGTAGAATTAGATTCTAGCATCTCTGATGGTGGTGGGGGATGTCCAATAAATGAAATTTTGCATTGGCATAATGCAATAAAAAAAGAACTGGTGGATATAGCCCAAGAAGCAAAAAAGATTGAGCTTTCTGGAAATTTTGCCAATTTGGCGTCTTTCACTGAAAGGTTGCAGTTCATTGCCGAGGTTTGCATCTTTCATAGGTACATGTCACCTTTGGATGCTTGCGCTGTTTCATACTTTATGCGTGTCGTATCAACTTGATCAGAAATGTGAATTTTCTTTGGCAGTTGTGTACTTTCTGATGCGTATTAGATATTTTCCTGGTGATTAATAAAGTGGATTAAGGATATTATCTATTTTTGTATTCCTGTGTGGAATGTACTAAATCCATCTCTTGAATTTCCTGATGTGTAGTAAGAACTTCTGAATTCCCTTGCAGCATCGCTGAAGACAAGGTTATATTCCCTGCGGTAGATGCAAGAGTCAAGAACGGAGTGTCGTTTGTAATGGAGCATGCTGAAGAGCAAAGTCAATTCAACAATTTAAGGTGCTTAATAGAAAATATGCAAACTGTTGGAGCCAATTCTTCTACAGCTGAATTTTACAAAAAGCTATGCACAAAAGCTGATCAAATAATGGCCACAATACAAGAGCATTTCCATACTGAGGAACTTGAGGTAACCATTTTAATTTACTAATGAGAACATAAGCTATTCATACCGTACGAAATATTCTTAGATAGAATTATGATTAACTATATACCATAATGTGGCAGGTCCTTCCTCTTGCTCGAGAACATTTCAGTTTTAATGAGCAGCGTGTACTTCTCTATGAAAGTCTCTGTGTAATGCCTTTGAAACTTGTAGAGCGGGTCCTACCATGGTTGGTGTCCTCACTGAATGAGGAACAAGCAAAATCTGTTCTCCAAAATATGCGTTTGGCAGGTTTCATTTCCATGCTTAACTGCATTGTCTCCCCATGAAAAGGATTATAAAAGAATATTCTAGGTGTGATTTTCATAATTCTTCCTCATGCCTTTTACGACTGCCGTGTTATATTTTGCAGCTCCAGCTTCTGATGCTGCATTAGTTACACTGTTCTCTGGTTGGGCATGCAAAGGTCGAAGCCAGGATTCTTCTGAATCTGGACGGTTTGTATGTTTGTCTGCAAATGGGGTTGTTGGCTGCCCAATAAAAGAGACTAACAAAGTGGATGAAGACTTTAGTGGGCAATGCTTTGCTTGTGCTCCCGCTGCTGCAAAACAGGGACAAGTGTCTTCTCCAGATGCCAGTGATAGCATAAGGCCAGTCAAACGAGCAAACCTTAATGAAACATGTGAAAATACTAAAAATCCCGATCAATCCACAAGTGAAAATTCCCCAAAACCACCTTGTAATAATCAGCTTTGCTGTGTTCCAGGACTAGGAGTGAGCTGCAACAATCTTGGAATTAGTTCAATAAGTTCGGCAAGGAGCTTGTCTTCTTTGTCTTACAATTCCTCTTGTGCACCGTCCCTCAATTCTAGTCTTTTTATATGGGAAACGGATATTGGGTCTTCTGAAATCGGCCAAGCAGCTAAGCCCATTGACCACATCTTCCAGTTCCATAAAGCTATCCGAAAGGACTTGGAGTATTTGGATGTTGAATCTGGAAGACTTGCAGACTGCAACGAAGCTTTTCTTCGGCATTTCAGTGGAAGATTTCGGCTTCTATGGGGTCTTTATAGGGCTCACAGTAATGCTGAAGATGATATAGTATTTCCTGCACTAGAATCCAAGGAGTCTCTGCATAATGTGAGCCATTCTTATACGATTGACCACAAGCAGGAGGAGAAATTATTTGAAGGGATATCTGCTGTCCTTAATGAGCTTGCTCAACTACATGAAGGCAATTTGGGTTTTGCTGGTGGTTGTGAAGAGTGGGGGAGAAGGCATAATGAGCTTGCTACCAAACTTCAAGGAATGTGCAAATCCATAAGAGTGACACTGGACCAGCATGTTTTCCGGGAAGAACTCGAATTATGGCCTCTTTTTGATGCCCATTTTTCTGTGGAGGAGCAGGATAAAATTGTTGGCCGTATAATTGGTACAACAGGAGCAGAAGTGCTCCAGTCAATGCTGCCATGGGTTACAGCTGCACTTACTCAGGAGGAGCAGAACAAGATGATGGATACTTGGAGACAGGCAACAAGAAACACTATGTTTAATGAATGGCTGAATGAATGGTGGAAAGGAGCTTCAGTAGCATCTTCTCAGGCAACTCCTTCAGAGAGTAGTGTTCCTGCCCAAGGTTCTTGTTTCCTTCTGTTTAGCTTCATTAGTTTTGGTTCATTGTTTTCTATACTTACAATACAGATATTGCTGGACAATATTTCAGTGTCCGATTCTTGGTCATTTGGAATGGCCTCAAGTTCTGGTTGCATGCTATCTATGCTCTATGTTCTGTATTATTTTTTTATCAGATCTGAATACTCCGGTAATTATTCTCAATCAGGTAAAGATGTTCAGGAAAGTTTGGATCAGTGTGACCAGATGTTTAAACCTGGATGGAAGGACATCTTCAGAATGAACGAGAATGATCTTGAAGCAGAAATAAGGAAGGTTTCTCGGGATTCTTCATTAGATCCACGTCGAAAAGCATATCTTATTCAGAATCTTATGACCAGGTTATTTGCTGGACACAGATTTTCTTTCTCTTACGCACCTGCCTATGCACACACACACACACATGCACACTTCTATATAGGTATGCATGCACACATGCATATATGTGTGTGTGTGGATGTATGTATATATGTATGTATGTATGTATGTATGTATGTATGTATATATGTATCTATGTATATACTTGTATGTGTGCATGTGTGTATTCTACATGTCTATTGCAAAATAATTATCCAAGGTTCTGTTTAAAATAACATAATTGGTTGTATTGTTGTCTGGGTAATCCCAGTCGCTGGATAGCTGCTCAGCAGAAGGTTCCTGAACCAAGAATTGGTGAAAGTGCCGATGGTGAAGATGTTCCTGGGTGCTCTCCGTCCTACCGGGATTCTGAAAATCAGATATATGGCTGTGAACATTACAAAAGAAACTGCAAGCTTATGGCTGCATGCTGCAACAAGCTTTTTGCTTGCAGGTTCTGTCATGATAAAGTCAGTGATCACTCTATGGACAGGTTGTTTCCCTTCTGAGAAGATTGGCTTTTTGTAAGCTCTGTTTACTGTAGTTTCTGAAAATTGTATTTAATCTTAATTCCTTTTCCTGTTTCTATTTTCCAGAAAAGCAACAACTGATATGATGTGCATGCGCTGTCTGAAGATTCAGCCTGTTGCACCGACATGTGCAACACTGTCCTGTGAGGGGTTTTCGATGGCAAAATATTTTTGTAATGTCTGCAAATTTTTTGATGACGAAAGGTGCTTTGCTTGCTTCTGTAGTTATGTATTATCTGAAATAGGAAATTTCATGTGTTTCGGGTGATCTCTTTGCTAAGCAATTGCTTCAGCTATGTCCGTTTGGAACATGCTTTGCAAAAAGTTCTCCGTGACTTGGATTTTCAAGATATTTATCAAAATAAACTACTAAATGTAAATTTGCACTTACGAATTGTGAGATGTGCCTCATATATGTTTTTAATCACTCCTAAATTTGTTTCACTTAACGTTGAAAAGTAAATATCAGAAGAGGACGTGCATGTCATTCATGCTATGTGTTTAAATATGATCTTAGCATATTGAGTAAGTCATGCCCATAGTTGTTGGAGACGGAGCAGGATCGGTTCGGGAATCCCCGAACCGCCCTATTGCAGAAGTTCCCTGGGTTTGGGATCGGTGTCCGTACAACAAGAGAGGGAACAAGATCCTTAGGTTTATGAGGGTGAGATCCCATAGTGATGGGTTCGAGGTTTCGACTGGCAAGAATCTAAGCTTCGCTACATATTAAACGAGGTTGTCAAGTAGAGCTAGTACGGGTTACCTTAGTTAAGGGATTGAGGTTTCCGTTTATCATATAATGGGGTTCCTCTTGTTCTAATATCGAGATTCTTCAAGTATAGGAATCAAGGTCCTCAGTTGATTGGCCCCAAGGTCCGCAATTGCTATTTACGAGGGACCCCTCTATTGGGCATTTTTCTATATAGTATATAGTCCACACTCCAAAGTACAATATGTATGACATCCTCTAGTTAAATAAATCTATAATGCCCTATTTCTATACATCACATGCTTACGTGGTACTTGATTAATATTAAATATTTTTGGTCACTTTACTATATAGTCCGTGGTCCATAGGCCAAAATCTAATATGTATGACATCTTATGTTTAAATAAGTGCATAGAATCATATTTTACTATGTAGTCTGTAATCCACTCTCCAAAGTCCAGTATGTATGCTATCCTCTAGTTAAGTAAATCTATAGTGCCCCCATTTCTATACATCACATGCTTACATGCTGCTTGATAAATGCTAAATACTACTGAACGCTTTACTGTATATGTCCATTGTCCATGCTCCAAAATCCAATATGTACATATGAGTATATGACAACCTCTAATTAAATAAATCGATAGTACCCTATTTCTAGGCATGTATGCTACTTGATTCATAGGTGCTACTTGATGAAATATTAAATACTCTTAGGCACATTACTATACAGCCTGTGGTCTATAGTCTAAAATGTAATATGTATGATATCCTATGGTTAAATAAGTGCATCGAACAATATTTTTATGCAACACATGCCTATATGCTTGATAAATCTAAAGAGTATGGATTATTTTGCTAATTAGTCCGTGGTCCTTAGTTGAAAATCTAATGTATATAACATACCCTATTTAATTAAATGCATATTACCAGAATTTGATACATTAGGTGCCTATATACTACTTGATAAATGCTAAAAGTATAGATCAATCTATTAGATAGTCCATAGTATACTTATGTACTCCATTCTTCTTATATATCTTCCAAATCCCATTAGAGGTATAAATTTAATAACATAGTCCCTCAGAGTATAAATTTAATAACATAGTCCCTCAGACCACCAAGATATTCCACACATATAAATCCAAAATATAATCTACAAGTACACAAATTGGATTTTTCTATTATTTTAATCAACTACACGTTCTTCCCCCCCCCTCCCCTTCCCTCACACCTTCCCTCTTCCCCGCCCAATTCCCCCTCCGTCTATATTAAACCTTGGACCCAAAACCAGCCCACACAACTCATTCGCCATTAGCTTGTGGTGATCATTCTGGTGAATCTTGTTGCTCCTCCCAACTCTCCCATGCTACAAGCTCCACTCCCCCATGCTACAAGCTCCACTCCCCATGCTACAGGTATGTGCGCTTGTGCTCTTTCCCTGTGTATTTTTGTGACTCTTGTGTGTGCATAAGAGAGAGAGAGTTGAGTGTGTGCTTGTGCTCTTTCCCTGTGTATTTCTGTGACTCTTGTGTGTGCATAACAGAGAGAGTTAGTGTGTGTGTGTGCATAAGAGAGATTTGAGTGTGTGTGCAGTAGAGAGAGAGTTGAGTGTGCGCTTGTGCTCTTTCCCTGTGTATTTCTGTGACTCTTGTGTGTGCATAAGCAGAGAGAGAGAGAGTTGAGTGTGTTTGTGTGCATAAGAGAGAGAGTCGAGTGTGCGCTTGTGCTCTTTCCCTGTGTATTTCTGTGACTCTTGTGTGTGCATAAGAGAGAGAGAGAGAGAGAGAGAGAGAGTTGAGTTGTGTGTGCATAAGCAGAGAGAGAGTTGAGTGTGTGTGCGTGCATAAGAGAGAGGTGAGTGGGCGCTTGTGCTCTTTCCCTATGTATTTCTGTGACTCTTGTGTGTGCATAAGAGAGAGAGTTGAGCGTGTGCGCTTGTGCTCTTTCCCTATATATTTCTGTGACTCTTGTGTGTGCATAAGAGAGAGAGAGTTGTGTGTGTGTAGGGGAGAGAGAGGTGTGTATGTGTAAGCAGTAGAGAGAGAGAGCCCACAAACATGGACCATGGTTGATGGGAGCGGGGATCTATTTTCAAATGGAAATGGATTCATCTGTTTTTGAAAGTAGAGGAACCATAGATTATAATGTACCAAAACCTTGGACCATGGTTGATGGGAGCAGGGATCTATTTTGAAATAGTATTGGAATCCACTAATGGTTCGAACATGATCCCTTTTATTTGGGAGCGAGATCCCAAAATTGAAAAACTGAGGTCTCGATCCCTAGGAGGAACCGTGGGATCGAGGTTTCGGAGTGGGAACACCACCCTATCCCCACGGTTCCCTTAACTATGGTCATTCCTGGTATGTCAGGACACCATAAACAATATGGCCTGAGGGAGTTGTTTACGAGATCATGTTGGCACGTACTTTGCACCTAAAAGCCTTCGAAAGCCATTTTAACATTGTTTCAGATATCTGTGGTTTTAAATTTTCACCGGTTGCACCTTGAGTTTGTGTTGACAAGCTAAAGTATTTGATGTTTGTAGATAGCTCTATGAATTTGAAATATGACCACGTTATTTTTATGATGAAATAGAAGACCATGAGAAAAGTCCATGCAAATTTTGCTCGTATCTTTGGCTTTTCATCCAAGTGGGACATGAAACTCTTGCCTTTGCCTTCGGGGTTTTGAATAAGGATATATCCACCTCCACCTTCACCTCCTACTGACCTCTACGGTTGTGTGTAATGTATCTAAAATCATTAAGTTTGGGGTGCTACTCGTGCATAAGGGGCTGTTTGAAGTGTATACTTCCTGGTGATACACCTTTAATTGTCATTTTCTTAATTAAGATGCTCTTCAGTCACATTTGTCAAATATCCATGACCGCAAAGTTGTAGATCTTTAATTAGGTTTTACTGGAACCTTGGATTTTTTTTTTGGCCTCACTGCACAGCCAAAGAGAGAAGAAAAGAACTTACCAGAAAAATTTAAATTTATTGTGTAGTGGCGTATTTGTCGCAAATTGCTCCTAAAATTTTACTCTTTGTGGAATCTACCTTTTATTTAGATACATTTGTTGCTGTTTTTTGTTTAGATTAATTTTAACAATAAAGATAAGGAGTCGTCATAAATGAGATGAACAATAATCAATCTGTAGAGCTTCAAGAATTTTTTCCTGTGAAGATTTAGCTCGTGTATGCTGCTAATTCTCTATGCTTCATGATTTTCTGTCTGCTTGAACGAGGAGTAACGTAACCTCTTTCTGTGGCTAGTTGCGCCCGAAAGTACATAAAGTGAGGCTAGGTACCTATATCAAGCAGTGTGCCTCTCGCCAGCCTGAAAGTTAGTGATAGACATCTCTAATTTTTTCTGTATGTGTATGCACATGTAAGTATTTAAAAATATGTCACTAAAAACTGTTGTATTTAGAGTGGTAAGGATTGAGCGAAGTTTGCATATTTTTGGTGACTTTAGAGAACCAACTAACCCAATTAGACTAACTAGTCTGCTGCTCAGTGAATAAAGTTTATTCATTACCGATGTTGACATTGTTATGCTTTGATCTAATCACTTGTTCCCATTAAAAGCAAATTGTGTTCTCAACTTGGAAATGAACACATAAGCCGAGCATTTTTTTTATGTTGCTATGTCAGTTTGCCATTATTGATTTGAAGTTTGTCCTTTAGTTGTCTGCATTTTTTGTACCAAATCCTCGTAGTGGTCTTTACCTTTGAAATTTCAAGTGCTGGTGTCAATCTAGGTTTTTTGTGGCAAAAGTATGGGGCTATATGCCCATGAATTTCACAGGTCTCGTAAGCAGCTGCCTGCCCTGACTACCACCACCAGGGCAGACTTCTACTTCCCCACCTCTATGTGCGTCTAGGAGGCCAACCTTGATAACACTGGTTTTATTGAAAGGTTTCTGGAATATATAAGTTACAATTTATAAAAGAAAATTTACAGTTCCAACGTAATCAAATTTCAAAATATTTGCACTTCCAATCAATGTTTCAAAAAAGGTCTGCCCCGGCACCTAGGTGCCCAACATCTTATGCACCTCATGCCTTGGCCTAGGTGGCCCATTCTGGGCGGATGTACCCAGGCGGGGCCCAGGGACATGGTTTTTTTTATTTTTTTAAAGATGCCGATTATGGCAAAGGGGGTAATTTTGACCTCCTAAAAGGTTTAATTAGGTTATGGGGGTTATTTTCTACCCCCAAAGTTAAAAGAATAATTCCATACCCTCAATCTCTTACCTATACGTATTTCTAAGAATCGAAAGTATTTTTTGTGGTCTAAAGAAGCTTCCTAAACTTTTCCACTTACTATGGAATAACCTTATTTCTAAGAATCAGGAGTATTTTTTGTGGCTTGAAGAAGTTTCCTAAATTTTTCTACTTATTATGGAATATGGAAAGTTGGAGACAATTACTAATACATATCCTATTAGACTTTTTAAATTTTATATGGTTTGAATTTTGAAATTTTGAACAAGTTTATTCTCAACATGCGATATGTCATTTGTTTGTATATTATAAAGTATTTTACAATATTTTCAAATGCAATAAATTACAAAACTGACGCAAATGTATGTATATATGTTATATATCTATAGAATTTGTACTGCAGAATACCCAAGGTTCTAGGCGCCCGCCTGGGCGCCAGACAGGCCGCTTAGCGTTTTTGAAAACCTGGCTTCTCCAACTGGAAGTAATCGAACTTCTGATATTATGTCCTAGTTTAACTGTTACATCCTGATTCGGTCATTACATCCGATTTTACTACGATTGTTAGATTGCAATGGTGAAGGTTCATATTATGCTAGTGTCAATGGCAATTGGCATTGCATTCTATGGATTTAAGAATTGTTTACTGATACATGAACCTACGTATTCACTGAAAATATGTAGAATATATCTAGCGTTCTGACATTTGCATGACATGGAAGTTCTTATGATGGTGATCATGCAACTCGTACTTGTTAGTTGACCTGAGTGTTTATGTGTGTGTGTTTGCACTCGTGTTTATGTTCTGTTTTGGATTTTTGAGCTATTCAACTCCAAAACTTTGCATCTTAACATTGGGAGTCTAGTATTTTTCTAGGTTGTACTGGGACTCATACTTTCTTTTTGCTTTGTAGTAACAGGGTCATTGTGTTTGATGTGCGAAGGATTAAAAGGAGTTATGTGACTCTACTGTATATTCTGTTATGATTCCATATGTCATTATTAGAGAGTGAAACATTTTCATATGATGCATCTGGCAAAATTTGTACGACATTCTGGTGTTTATAACCTTTATTATCTGTCTATGATTGAATGGAAAAAGTTTATACAAGGCACCAACCTTATACTATAAAAATAACACATACCTCAGAAACCCACAGGAAAAGGTTGTTTTGATGCTCGGAAGGCCTCCAGTTGATCATCTCAATCTTGAGATGCATGGATATTTTAAAAAGAAAGAAAGAAAGAATGCAAAGCCCTAAAAATAGTGCTTTTCATAATACATTTTATCTGGGCCCTCCTATTTCAAGATTTCAAGTGTTTATAAAGCTGCTCGATACATTTGGAGCTTTAAATTTCATAAAAAGGGGTGGAAATGGATTTTCAGGCTATATTGTGAGGGTTTCCGACACCGGAACTGTATATTCTGATAGGGTTTGGGGGTGCACCTTACTTTGATTGTTTAAGGTTGACACCTTATAAAAACCGCACCTAATTTGAAGATTGTGAGTATTTTAAATTTGAAAGGAGTGGCCTAAAATGCTATTTTTCAGTATTTTAAATTTGAAAGGAGTGGGCTAAAATGCTATTTTTCTGGGAAATCACACTATCTTTTCCCAGACTTTCTATTTTGTGACAATGTCGGTTGGCTGTTGCAAACCAATTGATTATGAAACCCAGGACAATTTTGTCCCAGAAAAATAGAAAATAAAAAATAACAGAATACTAGGCAGCATCTTGTGTATGATTTTGATTTGTTCCTTTGACAGCAGAAGCTTATTACCATTTTCATTTTGATCTCTGCAGGAATGTGTACCATTGCCCTTCTTGCAATTTATGCCGTGTAGGGAAAGGTCTGGGGATTGATTTTTTCCATTGCATGACGTGCAATTGTTGCCTAGGAATGAACCTAGTGCAGCATACGTGCCGTGAAAAAGCCTTGGAGACAAACTGCCCAATTTGTTGTGATTTTTTGTTTACATCAAGTGCTGCAGTTAAAGCTCTTCCTTGTGGCCATTTCATGCATTCGGCTTGCTTTCAGGTTAATTCTCTTGGACTGTTTAACAGATTTTGTTCTATGGACATGTGGTAATCGAGTGGGGCATTCACCGTCCATTCCTTATGACCAGAGGTGCAGATTTAACTGTTCTGGGTTGAACGTCGGGGGGTCCCACTATGGTTAATCTACCTGTCCATCGTCAGGATGGATGGTGGATGCCTTTTGGATTATCATATACTGTACGTCATTGGATTATAGCTTACTTTTGCTTGCTCTGTATGAGATGACGAATTCTATATCCTGACTTTATTTCCAACTTATGTAGGCCTACACATGCAGTCATTACACCTGCCCAATCTGTTGCAAATCCATGGGAGATATGGGTGTAAGAATCCTTTGTAACGCCGCTTCTCATGTCTTTTGTTGTACTTTTAATGCTTTCAACCTTCAAGTTTAGAGAATTATATGATTTACAATTACTTCTCTTATGTTTATTCAGTCAATTGGAGTGTTTTTGGTTTATAAGCTAGTGGACTATATGTGTGTCATTATACTGTGTCAGAGAGAGAAAAGTAGCAAAAAATACAGATAACAAAATTTTGATCTTATGTCATGAATCTACTTAAATCGTATTTTACAGAGCGTAAATCATCCGTCACTAATTCTGTGCCCTAGTAACTATTTCAAACTAACATAGTTAATGTTATTTGCATGAAAAACCAAGGAACAATACAAATTGTTTTGGTATAAATATAAAGTTATGAATTGATGTGCTTTTTAATGAGAACCCATAAACTTATTTTTGATAAAGGACACGGTTTTATGAGTCCATGTAGAAATGAGTCACCTCTTAAAAATCTATTTTTGAGATGGATTTTTGGACTTGATTTTTAAGGACATGTAATCTCTAACATGGAGATCATGAACATGAAAAAATAAATAAATTTGGAAAATTAAAAATAATAATTCTATTAAGAAAACATTTGGACCGTTAGTTTCAATTGTTTTTAGATGGACCCCACTTATTTGTGTCCATCTTTAAGATGGATGCTTTATACCTTGGGACTGCATATTGCAGAAATACGGTCCAGCCCGCACAAAACAATTTTCCTTTATAGAATTGGAATTCATTTGTTAAAAATTCTGAAAATTTGTAAATAACACAATAAAAGCTTTTAAAAGATCAAAAAGAAAAAAAAAAGGAAACAAATCTAGTATTCTATTTTCATATCAAAGACACCGAACAATGAACAAAAGTTCAATTTAAAAGCAAAGCTCTCAAAAATGAAAAAACAACGAAATAATAAGGGAGACCACATTAGAGAACCATACAAATAAGTGTTCACAGTACAAAAGCTTTAGGGATGAATGACAAATGTGATTTCTATTGAAAAAGTGGTTGTGAATAAATTTCAGAAGCATAAGAATTCATAAATCAACTAAAGGAAACAAAGTTGAAAAGAATGCATATTTTTTAATAATTTAAAAATCACTAATAGGAGTATTAAATTGGTCCTATCCTTTTCTAATGACGAGAAAATATTAGAGCTCTATTTTTATTTTTTATAGTAAAGTGTTTTTCTGACATTTTAGAATTTGAATCCATGAATAAAAAGGGAGAATACTAATTCATTGTTAATTAGAAAAAGGAAAAAACTGTAATAAACAATTTTAAGAATTTGGAGAACTTATAAATAATTATAAAGGCTTGAATATAAACAAGAGACAAATCTTGTTATTGAGAGATCCAAGAGACTCGTGTTGTTGAAAGGTTACATAATCCTTTTTATAAACATAAAAAAGTGAAAGAATAGTCATAAATAAAATTCAAGAGCGTAGAAGTCATATTTTTAAAATACAAATATTGTAAATTGGTAATATATTTTTGTAGTTAAGAAAATGATATTTTTGTAGTTAAGAAAATGATGTTTATTGAAGTATTAGAAATTCATACCAGAAGTTTAGCATAGACGGCTGCGAAGTAGTGTAATGACTATTGGAGTTTATAAAATCTCAAATTAATCTTTCGAAAGGAAAATTATTATATGGAAATAGAACTAATGGAAAGCATGCATTTTTGATGTTCAAAGAAAACTCTTAGAAAATAAGAAAGGTGTATCAGTTCAACTATAAAAGAAAAACCTATTTATATATTTTTTTGAGTATAAATCTATAGATCCTCACGAATTCAATTCACGTGTTTCACAACATTGAGCATCTAATGGAAAGATAATAAACCAATCGAGCAGTGTTGAGAAAGTTTTTAAATGTACGTGACTTTTAGGATTTTTTGTATATCAAAATGTTATTATTTTGTTAAGATATTATATGTTCTATGCATTTTGTGCGTTCTAGATATGCTTGCTTTTGAGAAAGTTGTGTTTAAATTTTCCTAAATTAAAAAAGTCTTTCAGGTCATGCTTCATCTCTAAGGTTAACTTTATCAAAAAAGAAAAAAAAAGGAAATATGCTTTTTCTCTTAAAATCTTATGCATTTGAAAGATACATGTTTATGAAAAGATTCAAATTTTCCTTCTTCCAGAATTCTCTCTAAATTGATATCCAGGGGATTTTTATCTCCTAAAAATCTTGCTTCTTACTTGTCACTCACAAGCATCTCTCTGTAGAGATTTCAGGCCAACGTGAAACAATCTCTTCTGAGATTTATCCTTAAGAATGATTTTATGATCCCTTTAACAAACATTGAATTCCTTTTTTGGTTTATTTGGAATGACCAATATTATGGGGGTTCGATGTTTATCTCTTAAGAGCTATACTCCATTTCCCCTGTGCACGGTTTGCCCGAAACTCCCCCTCTTTCAAGTTCCAATTGCTCCACATTCTCTCTGGCTGTCTATTTTATCTTAACAATGTATGTCCACCCCTTAACTAGTTGGGAAATGGCTCTGATGATGATGTCCACCCCTTAACTGTGGCTCTATATATGTAGAGTAGATAAAGTCCGACATTTGTTTTGGCATCTTTGATTTCTAGATGATTGGTGCGGTAATGGAGAGCGAGATTAGCCATTGGGGGTCGTTTTCTTGAGTCCCCTCCAATCTGTAGTTGTTGGATTGTAATATATCGTTTCCATCTGAAGAGGATGCAGATAAACCTGGTAGTTGAGAATTAGGGATTAAGATTTAGGGACACATCTTCTCTTTATCGGATACAACAAAAAAAGTAGTCTTTTGTTTAGTTTCATGATTGATGTTGCCAATAATATAAATGCAAAAGCCATACTTCCTTTTTCTTGGATATTAATTAGAGGGTGCATGTAACTTTCAGGTTTACTTTGGAATGCTTGATGCATTGTTGGCAGCAGAGGAGCTTCCTGAGGAGTATAGAGATCGATCTCAGGTATGTCAGTCATGAACCCAATTATTGCATTATATCTGGGTGATGGGTTGTATTTCTTTGGGTCCTTTTGAGTAGCTTTTGTGTTATAAAAGAAGACTGAATTCTGTTTTAGGTCATTCTGAGCTGCCTTTTGTGATATAAAAAACATGAAAATTTTGGGCCGTTGTAAGCCGCTTCTGTGATACCATAAATATGTTAAATCGATTTTTTGTAGAATTCTGAGTTACTTCTATGATACTAACAAGATGTCCGTTGGTGATGCAGGACATTCTCTGTAATGACTGTGAAAAGAAGGGAACTTCCCGCTTCCACTGGCTATATCACAAATGTAGTTCATGTGGTTCTTATAACACTAAGGTGATATAAGCAGGTGTGGTTTCACGGCTACGGTTTTTCTGCATTGCCCAGGGGCTTGTATGACTTTATAGGTCGCCCCTTTCTGAAAGAGGGCTAATTTTTGTATTTCAAAGAGGAGGCAATGGGTTACTTTCCCAGATGAGCAGGTATTGTATATAATATGCTTTTCACCTGCTTCCTTTACCACCCCTGGCCCCTTTGCAGCCTCGGCTGCATTTGTAACATACACAACCAATTCATTTTTCTCGACTTTGTTCATTTGTACATAAGCCAAGTTTCCCGCTCGCTCGACAAGAACAGTCACGACAGTTTTGAGTATTTTTCTGTATAATGCGGAATACATGTGCAGTGTTCTGTGCATATAGGTTTTCATGCTAAAGCGTGCATGTGGAATTTATGTAAGCCCTTTGTGGTGCCTGCCACTCATCCAACTCTTTCTCTCTCTCTCTCTCCCCTCCCCCCTCCCCCCGCGTACATATTATTAAATTTATCGTTAATAGTTTTACATGGTTGCTGAGCTTATATTAGTAAAAAGCAAGAAATTCTAGGATCATTTTTACAAAAAAAAAGAAAAAGATATTGCTTTTCACTCTAGGATTCGATTTAAAAATATGTTCAGAATTTCAATAGAAGCAAGAAAAAGAAGGTATTGTTGGCTCTCGAGTAATTCTTCTTTATTAAAGATGTACAATTAAGAAATTGTATATACCTTGAATATATGTGTGAATTTATTTTAAAAAAACAACTTTCTGGTGTTAATTTTTAGAAGTGTATTATTTATTTCAATTCAATCTTTTTATGGTAACATATAACTCTTTATTTCCTCTGGAATTTGGTTCGAGGGAATTTTTCTGCTCGTACTCTCTCTGTCTGCCCCTACCCTACCCTACCCTCCGCTCCTCCTCAATATCGAGTGGTTTCTATGAATCTTCTATGTAATCTGACCAATAGGGTCATCAAAACTCCAGGTCGATGGGACGGTTAATAGTTTTAACTAATTTATTTATTAAATATATTTTTAATTTATTTATTAAATTTATAAAGAACTATCATCTCAAACGAATTATCATCCTTTGAGATTTATATTATAGAAAAAGTTTATATAAGGTTGCAATGTAGAATTACAAATGCACTTCAAAAATCCATTAGAAAAGATTGTTTTAACGTTGGAAAACCCTATAATTCATTATCTTGACATGAATATGAAAAAGAAGGATTTTGAGTCGAGTAGTACATTTTGCAACATATTATTCATACTGTTTATTTTCAAGATTTTCAAATGTTTATAGATCTATTTGATTTTAATCATTTTTGAAGTTCAAAATTTATAATTAAATATTTTGAGATTTCTTAAGAATTTATTACTCCAAAATTACATGTTGTGATAAAATTTGGAGGTGTGCTTCAATTGGATTGTTTAAAGCTGTAACCCTAAATAAACCACATGACTTAGTGATTTAAAAAATACTGGGTCGGCCCGGAATCTCTCGGTCTGTCCTAAGAATTGGTCGACCTTTGCTGATTATGTTAATATATAGGAAATAGGAAATTGTTTGGCTTTAGAAGAGAACCGGTAATTTGTAGCGTTTTGCTACAGTAAAAATGTGAATTCACGGATTCAGGACGGTTTTTGGTTGGTTCATTATTTTTGCATGTATTTTTTTTGTTGGTTCATTATTTTTTTTGCATAGAAAAATGATGATTCGATTCATTGATCCGAATTGGTTCTTGCAATACTTGATCCGGGCCACCAATCCATTTTTTAAATAATTGTTATTACCTATAAATTTTAATGTCCTGCCTTTCGAATAAAAATTGATGTTTAAACCATGGCCCTTTTAATTACGGTTTTATTGTTAATCACAAACAATTATTAAAATTCAAAATACATAACATTTTATAATGCCATTTTGAGAGGAGATAATATAAGTACAAACGATTAATTACTCAGTTTCACATTTTATTGGTGAGGTTACTATTAATATTATAATTAATTAAACGTATGAATTGGAGGGTCAATGCATAATTTGAATTTTATCAATACAAAATTATAAAATATAATGTAACTTGCATTTTGAGAAAAAAACTTGATTATTCAAATCTAAATTAGAAATAATTTCTCAATTTATTTTCAATGCGTAAAAGTATAGTTTTGAGGTGATTTTGACCATTATAATTAATACCTAAAAATTAATTAGAAAGTAATTTAAAATAACAGTAGCGCTAACTTTTAAGAAAATTTATGTATTATATTAAATTTAAAGTTGAATTTCCATGATATTATGAATCATAATAATTATGTACGCTCATAAAAATTGATATTAGGAATCATAATAATTAATTAAGCTCATAAAAATTGATACTTTATGATTCTATTTGCAAGCCGATGTATTATAACTAAACTGTTGATTAGAATTCAAAAATTAATATTTTAATGATGAGAGTACCCTTGAGCACCCTTTTTTTCAATAAAGAAATACCGATTTGGGGTTTGCTAATTTGACCACCTAAACTATTAGGTAGATAATTAAAAATGTTTGTGGCCTGTAGATTAAAAATAATTGTAATTCAAAAGGAAATTTATCAAATTACACGTCATAGTTGATTGTGGCAACATTGTTTTGATGAAAAAACTTTTGTAGCTAAAAACGTTCTAAAAGTGTAATTTTTAAATTTTTATAATTTAAATAAGTTGATAAATTTGAGAGTTTTTTTTTTACTCAAGATGAAATTAGATTTTTTCTTAACAAGAACCTATAATGTTTAATGTGTTTCACCTTTTGAGTGAAAATTTGATTTTCAAAATTATTTTACATATTTTACCATATTTAAATAATATGTGAAAATTAAAAAGAAATTAATACCCAATTGTTTAAACGAAAATAACAATTGTGATCTTTGTTAAATTTCAAAATTTAATTGTCATTGATTTGTTAATAATTTATAAATTAAAACATTAATATTGTATAGTTAAGATTACAAGTTTAATATTGTATTAATGAGACTACTTTTGACTACTCACGTTTTTAGTGATTGGGACTTCAATACTAATATGAACACTTAAGGTGTTGTACAGATTATTGAAAGCCTTTCTAACCTTACATACTAACTTTATGATCATAAATAAATATTAAAAAAAAATTATAATCCTTTTTGTCTATTTAAACAATAAAATTATTTTTATAAATTAATTTATAATTGGAATATTGAATTATTTTTGTATTAAATATTTAAGAACTTGACATTTTAAAATTATGCTGATGATTAGGAAAAACAAATTGAGGAGGGATAATCCAATCTTTGGAGGCCAAGATCTATATGTAGAAGAACTCAAAATCTACTTTTTTATTTTTATTTTTTTTGATAAAAATCTTTAGCGATTATGACGTGGATCCCAAAATTTTATACCAATAAAATCCTTCCAAGGAGCTCTTTAGCACGAGAGAGAGCATGATCCCGTGGGAGAAAAAAGAACAATATAAAGAGCATGATGCAAATTGTTTTTACTGGCATTTATTGCACTTATTGTGGTTATATCTTCCCCACGTTTACCACTTTGGATCAATGTCTTGAAGAGATGAATCATAAGGGATTGTCTATAAATAGATCGTTTATCTTTGGGTGCAGTTTTAAGGTTGCAACTTTAAACAATCCAATAAAGGCGCACCACTAAATTTTATTATAACATATAATTATGGTGTAAAAAATTCTTAAGATTATTTTAAAATGTATTTTCATATTTAATTATAAAATTTTATAACATATAATTTTGGTGTAAAAAATTCTTAAGATCATCTAAAAATGTATTTTCATATCTAATTATAAAATTTGAAACTCCAAAAATAGTTAAAATCATGTAGATTTATAAACATGTGATAATCTTGAAAATGGATGGCCTAGATAATGTGTTGCAAGATGCACTATTTTTGGAACTCAAAATCTTTATGTTTATACGTTCATACATTTCGATGTCGAGATGATTAATTAGAGGGTCTTTCAACATTAAAATAACTTTTTCGATGGATTTTTGAGGTGCATCTGTACTTCTACATTTTAAGGTTGTAACCTTATCTAAACTTTTCATTTTATCTTTTGTACATAGATGTCACAATCATTCTTGTCCCTTAAATTTCAAAATGGGTGGTTGTAAGAATATTATTGAATAGGCACAAAGTTCCAAAAAAAAAAAAAAATCTCCAAACCATCTAATTTGGCATCGAATGAGTGTGAATGATTGTAACCTCCATAAATGATCTCTTTGTTGAAAATCCCAAATTATAAAACTTTGCTTTTATATTATGCTTATGTGTGATTATATTGAATGCTTGCTCTTTCAATTATAAGATCTACTTGGATGTATTTATAAGTCCGTTAAACAATAGGAATAGAGGGTGGGATAATATATTAAGCCATCCGCCACCTAACCACCGATGCCCCAACCCCATTTCCCAATATATGCTTTAGATCTAAATTTGGGAATCCACTTTAGAATCATTACATAAATATTATAAAAATAAAATATTGGATTTTGAGTTTTTAAATATATAGATCTAACTTCTAAAAATTTAAATGATCTCTATTCACATTTATTTACCTTAAATACATAGTCTTCTCAAATACAAGTACTGTATGATATTTTTTTGAGTATATTTTTTGGGAATGATTAGCTAGATTGAGGAGGTTACACCTACACATTGTTTCTCCTGAAGGATCATCTCTATTGGAAGGATCATATATCTCCTAGCACATAATTTGGTAATCTATAAGAGTGAATAGTATACGAATGTAAGGCTTTGGAAATATTGGAACACTATTAACCTATACCTGAAGCTCTCAGTAAACTTTTTTAGTGCCAAAAATTGAGATATTTCAGGATTTTTGGGAGGTGGTTAAGATTGATACATGCGCTTGTTTGAACAATTTTTTGAGGATGGTTTTATGAGTAGCTCGATCAATTCTACTTTTACAAGATTGATACATGGCTTGAACAATCCTTACTACCCTTATGCAAGATTCCTTCTTAAGTCCTGGATAATAGATTAAGGTGCTCCATTTGGTCGTTGAAGGTCCCCAATCTGTCTTGTTACAAGGGATTCTTACTGCAGAGGAAGTTATACACTCGGTTGCCCGGTCTGGGTCTGAAAGTGTTGTATTAAAACTGGACTTCGAAAAAAATTTATGATCGGGTGGAATGGGACTACCTACTTGAGATTATTGAGTTGATGGGTTTTGGAGTTAGATAACAAAAGTAGATTAAGGGTTGTTTGCTTATGACCCATTTCTTGGTCCTTACCAATAGTAAATCTTGCGGGTACTTTCGAGCCTCTAGGGGGCTCAAGCAAGGCGACTCTGTAGGGGCTCAAGCAAGGCGACTCTGTAGTCCGTAGTAATTTCATTAGTAGGCTGCCAGCTTGCAGGGGAGGTATACCTT